TCAAGGAGCTGCTGATACAGTTCTACAGTGGAATTATTAAGTCTATCATCTGCACCTCTATAACTGTCTGGTTTGGTTCTGCAACCCAAAAAGACAGACATAGACCTCAGAGAGTAATTAGGACTGCAGAAAAAACAGTTACTACCAACCTGCCTTCAATCGAGGCTGCACGAGTCCAAAAGAGGCTATGAAAATATTTACAGACCCCTCATATCCCAGACATAAACTGTTTAACTCCTACCCTCAAAACAATGCTATAGAGCACTGCACACTAGAACAACTAGACACAAGGACAGTTTTTCCTTGAACGCCATCACTCTGCTAAACAAATAATTCCCTCAATACTATCCAACTATTTACAAAATCTGCATTACTATTACTATTAATCTTCTCATCGCTCCTTATCACCCATCCCCTCCAACTTGTGACTGTATGACTGTAACTTTGTCACTTGCATCCTTACAATTTATATTGACTGTTTCCTAGTATGACTTGATTGCTTATTGTACCCTATGACTATTATTAAGTGTTGTACCTGATGATTCTTGACTCTTGATGAATGTATCTTTTCTTTTATGTACACTGAAAGCATTTACACCAAGACAAATTCCTTGTGTGTCCAATCACACTTGGCCAATAAAGAATTCTATTCTATTCTATCCTTGGATCATCATGTTGTATCCAAAAGAGTATGTCAGAAATCATTGCATTGAATATATAACACTTTTATACTTGTGCCTCTTATTTTTCACTGCCATTTTGATTTTTGGTCTCCAGTATGTATCCATGTATCTATTTGGTAAATAGGAATGATACATAATTAAATGGATGTTTGTTATAAATATTTATTTTATGGTACAGAGTATTTGACAACTTCTTTGTTTCTTCCAGTCTCATGAGATGTCATTGGAGCACAAATGGAAAATTAGGATTTTTTATTTTTGCTGCGATTACCAGTGACAGTATAGTGTGTCATGCATATAAAGATTACCATGAACATTTTAAGACCAATATCTTTAAACAAAATTTCTTCCTACTTACTAATTTCTTTCTCTCCCAACCGCAACCAACTGAAAATCCACCCTTTGTCATTCAATACTTTAAAAATTGAAAAGATTCAAATTTTTTAAGACCAATGTTGTCTGTATTGCAATTAAAATCTCAGTTCTCCAAACCCATTTGGTAAATTTGCCTGGCAGATTGTTCATTTCAGAAGTTGACAGTTCCTTTTGTGCTATGTAAATAGTATCTCTCTCTTCAGATTGGAAGAATTTTCTTTCTTTTTATCCCCAGAAACATTGTTTAGAGCAGAGTTGGTAGCTTCTTTCATTTTTCTACCTTAGAAATGTACAAAGTTGTTTGAAGAAGCCAAGGAAATATACAAACCCCTTGAAATTTTCAGCATATGAAAAGATTCCTTTGTTTCTCATAAGAAATCCTATGAATGCAAAACCTAACCTTCTATAGAAATCATTGTGTGCCTTTCTTTATTCTTCTATTTTCATTGCAAAGGAACATTTGTTCCTTTGAGCTAAAAACTGGATTTAAAGAAGTTTGAACAAGTTTTGATTGTGCAGTCTTTTCTGTATGTTTCTATTCATATTTGAAACAGCGGGTCTAGGACAACTCACCACAACCATCTCACCAGGGCAATTTGCCACAGGTTAACTCGCAGTGGCCAACTCACTGTAGGAACAACTCACTGCAGGAGAATTCCATGTGGGATAACTCAATGTGATCAATGTTATCCACCACTGTTTCTTCTACTTTATTTCCATTTTTGTGAATGGAAATAATGTCAAAGAAACAGTGGCAAATAATATTTATCTCATTGAGTTATCCCACATGAAATTGTCCCGCAGCAAGTTGGCCATGGCTAGTTGTTCCATGGTAAGTGTCTGTGGTTGTGGCAAGATGGCCCCATAGAGATGGCTAAGCTGGGTTGGCATGGCAAGATGGCCATGGTGAGATGGCTGTGATGATTTGGCTGAGGCAAGTTGTTCCATTCTGCGAGGAACCATAAATTTATGTCAAACTGCAATGGACCATGATCTATGTTATCAAATATAATCTATTTGGATATAGGAATATTGCATCTTTTGAGAGAACAATAAATGGAGAGGCCGGCAAAATGTATGTACAGATATGTATATGTGTGTGGAATAACTTTTCTAAAAAAGAATCTAAGCTACTTAGTTGAATTTCCTCCAACCCTGTCCTCACAATAATCCTATAGTTTTGATCAGGAGTGGGATTCAAATTTTTTAACAACCAGTTCTGTGGGCATGGCTTAGTTGATAGGCATGGCTTGGTGGTCATGTGACTGGATGGATGTGGCTTGGTGGTCATGTTATTGGCTGGGCGTGGCCAAGTCAATATCACTCACATTGAGGCACGCATCTCCTCGCCTGGCCTCTCATGACTGTGGGGATGCTGCAACAGTTGTAAGTGTGAAAAATGGTCATAAGTCACTTTTTTCAGCGTCATTGTAACTTTGAATGGTCACTCCACACAAGCAAAGTACCAGCAAAGGAGGGCGGGGGGAAACTCCAGAGAAGTTCCTGAAACAGGAAGTCTAGTCCTGCCAAGAATGTAATAAGGGTTAACAGAGGCAGTTTCTGTAAGCAACACCAGAAGGTTTCCTTCCTGCCTTCCTTACAGGATTAGGCTAGTAATTTCTTCTAACAACTGGTTCTCCAAACTGCTTAGAATGTTAACAACCAGTTCTAGCGAATAGATGTGAACTGGTAGAATCCCACCCCTGGTTTTGATTCCTATAGTATCTATTAGAATTTTGTGAGTAAAGGAATATTTGTACAGGAATATTTGAATTGCTATCTCTCTAGCTGTTGTGTCACAACATGGTTGATCACAGAGGTGGGCAGCATGAATAAACACCATTACAGAGAGAGGCAGATATACAAACTGGGGAAAGTTTTGTTAAAAATCCCCAAAGAGTCCAATCTCTAGGGCCTGATGTTTAGAAAGGGAACCAGTATTTTATTCAGGTATTGCTCCTGCAGTTTGAAACTCATTTCAAGCTTTTATACATTCATGTTTATGTTTTAAAACAATCCACAGATTGAACAAATGCCTCTCATATAGAAGACCACAAGGTTCTGCTTCCTGTTTGGTTTGACAATGACCATCTCCAGAATCGTTCCTTTATGATAGCACAGTATTTTAGAGTAGCAGAAATAAAAGGGACCCAAAAAGCCACTCAGAGTCATTTGACAATGAATTGTGTTGCATATAAATTTAATAAATAAATAAGTTACAGCCAAAGCAGAAGGAAGTTCATCCATTTCATTTTATTTTCATATAAAAATAAACAATTTAAGAACAAAAGTAGAAAGTTTCCTGGATGTACAAACTAGGTAACAGCATGACATTTGTCATGTTTAACATTTTCTTGCTTGCTTTCATTGAAAGCATAATCTACATCCGTAAATTTCACCTGTTTCAAATTTTCCATTATTAAGGCTTGGATTCATTTGCTGTTGTTAAAAACATTTTTTTTTAAAGCTAGTAAGCAACAGCTTAAGAATTCAAAACAATCACCAGCAGAAATTTATCTTTTTCTGTTAATACTCTGGAAAAAATACAGCTTTCATTAGTAGTAGTTGCCATTTTGATGTGTCAGGGAATACATTTCTTTCTGCTTTTGGATAAACAAAAGTGACTAGCCCCAAATATAGTTTTTCCCTAGTATTCTGAACGTCTAATTGCAGGAAGTTATCATTTCTATTGCCTTCTCTGGGAACAATTCCATCAATTTTTAGAACCAAATGCAACTGAGAATATCTTTCACAGTATTATCCCTTGGACAGAAACTTGGATAGTTCATTGCATCAATATGAGAATCTAGACTCATTAAACATCTTATGTGTGCAGCACATAAAGTGTGTACTTTCATCTCAGATTTCAAAACCTTTGAGTTTGCGTCAAATTAATACTAATCAACTCTAAATATTGATGCAAGGCTGTAGGAGTGAATTGATCAAGTCATGATACATAGCTAAATTCCAGTTCAAAATTTTGTTTTTAAATCTCTGGTGTTCCATTTTAGATAAAATAGGACCCTGGAATATATAGAAACAAAATTTTGAATTAGCATTTAGATAGGCATAACTTGATCAATTCATTCCTGTAACCTTGGATCAATTTAACCAAAAATGAAACCCATGAGAAGTTATATAGATCTTTATAGGCTCAATTGCTGGAGGTTCCTATGAAGTCCATTTGGGATAAAGTAAACAGACTACAATTTTCAGAAGCTTCTATAACATATTAATACCCCTTCCCTTTCCCCTATTAAGAGGATTATGGTTAGCCCCCATGTCTAATGGACTGTGTGAGATACATTCACCCATATGGGAAAGTAAATGGTTTCAGTTCAGAGTGTGAGCTGGAGATAGCAATTGCCCTGCCCATTTACTAATGCATGTTCACACTCATAGGCTTATAGTGTAAAGTTATCTCATTTTCATCACAATAAGGAGCAACTTCTAGCTTATTATTAAACTAGACATAGGCTAGGATGATTGTATAGGTACTATCATTGCAAAATTCAGTCAATTAACCAGTTAGACTGATTAAAAGCATATTAATCATTTTTAAAGTAACTGAGCAGCAGATACACAGTGCACACTTTTTACACAATCAGATTAAAACTCCAGATGACACATACAACTTTAAAAGTGGCATTATTTCCAGTGGTGCTACCAGGGGAGCCTTGAGCAAAAAAAAATATTCAGAACCCCATTCAGCAAATTGAGTCACCAGAGCTGCAGTATTAGCTTGTGATATGCTATAAGTTGGTGAAGTAATACTTGATATCCTCAAGAGAGAATATACTCCCATAAGGTCATATTTGAAGGCTGAAAGGACTAAACTGCACCTCTGATTTCTTCCCCAATTAAAATGAAACTGTGTTTCTTTTAAGATAATATTTACTGCCAACTGTGCAATTGAGCATTTTTTTTTCATAGACAATTTTTTCTGGTTTAATGAAAAATCTAGAATCACTAGATTTTTTAAAAATGGATGGCAATTCTGATAGCAAATAAATCCCTTACTCAAGGACCACCCTGATGTTCACTTTTTAACGTTTCATACAATCACAGAAGTCCTGATTGTCTTCCAGAAAGTTTGATCTCCAAGAGATTTAACAGTGCTGTGTTAATTATACTTACTCACATAAATATTGGAATAAGTAATCCTGAGCTTCTTATGAAAAGGAAGAATTTTCAGCCAACCCTCAGTAAAATTGTACAGAGGGTGTATAATTCTAGTCAGAAAAGCATACTGCTGCTTTCTAACACTGTAAGGCTAGCCACGCAGTGTGTCACATTTTGGATTTCATTCTGCTTCTTCATATAGAGTCACATTTTTAAAATGTCATTATATTGCACATTCCTTCAGGTAATAAAGGTCTCTTCTTATAATTGTTTTGCGCTTTATAGATTGAGTGCAGTTTCTTCCCCGTTCTCAGTTTCTTTGCACACAAAAGCCATTTTCATTGAAAAACAACAACAACCCAACAGCTGTCATATTGACCAATTGAACCGAGGTGCACTTACTATGAAGTAAGGCACATAGATGTAGTCTGAGTAAACCTGCCCAGAATTGAGCTTATAGGATGCGTAAACTTCATCCGGTCACTTTCACATATGTTATCTTGTCATGGTCAGGCACAATAGAAGTAGATCCCATCTTGAAGTAGACAAGTTGACGACCTTGTCAGACAATAAATAATGTATTATTATTACTACTACCACTACTATTGATTAGGAAGTATAAAGAAATGTTATTCTAAAACCAAGTCTGCAGTTATCCAATTACAGTCTCTTCTTTTGCAAGATATATTAGGATTATAAGTGTACATAAAGTGTTCTCAGTGGTTACTTCTAAGAAAGCAATAGCCTTCCTATGAAGACTAGACATTGCCCATCTATAAGAGAAGTGTGAGACATGTTTATCGTAAATGCCTTTGGATTCAATAAATATAAATAAATGATACCTATTCACATGGTTGCTCTATGAGAACTACACATTCCAGGGTTCCTGACATACAAATATCATTAAAGTCCTGATTATTTTGATCTAATCCAATAAAAGCATAATATTATTAACTAAGCAATGTTGCCATATATACTGAAGAGCTCTTGGTTGAAATAATCCATTACACTGTAATAAGTGGAGAAGCATGGCATTTATGATCTGATTATAGCAATATTGTCACCATTCCTGGTGCAACCCCAAAAGTTAGTGATATGACCAATCATGGCAGGACAATTTGCTACATGCCTATCTATCCATCTAGCTATATATACTGTATATATATAGGGGAGAGATTAGGAAATTAACAACTGTGTGTCCATTCTTCTCACCTTATCTTTCAAGTATTGCGCCTCCAAACAAATTGCGATAAAATGCTGTAATAAAAGAAGGTTCATCCAAAATAATACTAAAATACGAAGTCTAATTTTCAGGTTCAAATGGGGATAATATGGTATCTAAGCTGCAGTTGATTATTTTGCATGACTTTTGACTCTGCATATATGTAATTTAATTATTGTTAAATGTTCTATTGGGTTAATTTCTTGTAAATTGCTTCATAGGCCAGAAACATATTTCAAAGTTACTATTAAACCATTCATAATATAATTCAACAGCCAGGACTCATAGCAGCAGATGTGACCTTTGTCAAGTTTCCAGAGTTCATCTAAGGTTACCCTTTGAGTGAGGTGACATTTGTTAGGATCTGTGAGTGCTGAGATATGAGAACAGAATGCTCTACTTGTCAAAGGAAGATCCTGCTTACATTGCATCCAGCTGGAAACAGTCATCCAGCACACACAGGCTAATCTCTTTGGAACTCATCAAGACTGATAAAGAAAAGGCGTTGGAATGTATTTTCCAGGATTACTATTGTAGCCGATGGGCCTAGGCTTAGTCTTAACACAAAGGAGAGTGGCTTCCCTAAATCCCTTCTCTCAAGTCCTATCATCATCAAGAACTTGTCCTCTGGATACTCCCAAGAAAAGATATATATATAATGAGGAGATGATCCTCCTCATTAGCAGTCCCTATCCATAAAATGCCCCCCATAAAGATATTTTTTGAGCTATCTTTCTCAGAGGTGGTATTTAGCAGGTTCTGACCAGTTCTGGAGAACCGATAGCAGAAAATTTGAGTAGTTCGGAGAACTGGCAAATACCACCTCTGACTGGAGATTTTACAGTATCCTTCCCCTGCCACGCCCACCAAGCTATGCCCACAGAACCAGTAGTAAAAAAAATTGAAACCCACCACTGATCTTTCTTGATTTTGACTCCCAGGCTAATCCTCCCCCCACCCCGCAATTAATGTTTTACTCGCTTTTATAGTTTTATATCTTCTATAATTATGTTTGGAGCTAATCTTTTCTATATACAGTATATATATACTATTTTTCCATTTTAAAATGTTTCAGTTTTTCTGATATTTTTATTTCATTTTGGATATTAATTTTATTGCTCTTATTATTGTATACATTGTCCCTAAAGCCTCAGGCAGCCTGGATCAACATGGATTCTTCTAGAATGCTTTGAAAATATATTTCTCAGAATTGCAAGGCACTACAGCTATTGGCCATCCTAGCTGAAATTCTGAAAATTGTAGGCCTAACTGAAGAAAAAGAGTAGAGAAGGTCACCTCATAAGTTTGAATTATACTGTTAACAATTTTTTTGCAAACTAAAATGTGAAGGAAAGCACAATTTGCCATTCATAGATCCTATTTCAGACAATTCTATGTGCTTTAGTCACAAGGAATCCCTTTGTAGAATTTATATCCTTGGTGAATTGATTACTAATTACTTGATAAACAAATGTCTCCAAGGAATATTAAAAGCAAGGTACAATAATCACAGAGATGATTGTGATATCATGAACACATTAATTATTTTCTTATGTGGATGCCTGAATATGCCAAATCTTCTTTTTTTTTCCATTCTCATTTTGCTAGTTTAGGATTAAAAAACTTATTTAATTGCCAACCATTACCTGTCCAAGTTGTTTGGTTGATGAAAACAAAAGCTTTGCATTGTGAATGACTCTCACATATCTCTGTAGCCTCATTTGCATCAAATACAGAAAGGAGACATCCTTTATGATGGTAGGATGGCCAGCATCTGTAATTTTCATTGATTATTGTAGCTTCGGGCACTCTTTTATAATCTAGGAAAAAAGCAAAGAAAAACCACATTTAAAATGCATTCTTTCTGGGAAATTGAGCTTTGACGGTGTCTGAAAAAATGTTTCCAACACTCTTCTCCATTTCCTTAATATGCCGCCTCTGTATGTGTTTTTAATCTTGCACCAGATATTTGCCAAAAAGAATATTTTGTTATATGCACTTTGATAGAAAAAAATTGTGAGCAAGGTTTGCCAAGAAACTCTCTGTGCCCCTAACTCTATCCCACTTCTTTTTCCTGTGAAAAGTAAGTCTTTGATTTCATTGAAGTCTTTGTGGACCGACTGAGTGAATATCATCCACATCAATGAGCAAAAACTTCAGCTGTTGTTATTCTTAAATTAGCCCCAACCTGGTGCCTCATATGTGTTAAGATTGCAAATTCCAGAAGTCCCAATCAATGATTAAGATGGCTAGGAATTCTGGGGAATGTAGTCCCACACGTGCAAAGGGGAAGAACAGAGTAGGACTTCATAAGCATTCCCAGCCCTTGTTCAAAATCAGGACAGCATAGCTGGTTTCTGCCTATTTTGTTACAAACAAGCAAAGTCTTAATGAAGCCAATTTTTCTTTGTCAGTTTAGTTCAAAAGGGCAGTGACCTGATGAGCTCCATAGAAAAAGACATGGGAGAAAATAGTACCGTTGATTCTTGCCCATGCACATCTTGTCTACACAGACACTGAATTGACTTTGATTCAGTCTCCCTTCCATTTATGCCCCTCTTTCATACACATGTTTTGCTCACAACTCAGTGCTGTTTTCCAGCTGTCTGAGAATTCCCATAATGAATGCATCAGGCATGTATAAATAGCTCTATTTAGCCACAGGACATCCCAAGAGTGTGTTATACATAATTATTTCTAATTGTATTTGTTTAGGACAGCATAGATTTCCTATTTTATAGCCTTGCACTTTGTGTGAATCATTTCATTTCAGTTTAAGAATATTTTGCCTACAACCATAAAACTTAAGATTGTTGATATTTTGGAGAAAGTTTGATAACAAAGCCTTAATTGGAATTGAACAGTCATAGAGCTTATTTTGGTCTGCACTTATATACTTACCTGAAAGTAACATCCTTATAGGACAGCTGTACTTACTACTAAGAAATGTGACTACAACTGCCCACATCTAATAAATAATATATTAGTTCATATGATAGATTCATTATTTAGTATGCATTATGAACGCCACCTGTTTATTAAATGTGTGAAATATGTGTGAAACCCTAACCCTAAACACACATTTCACAGAGACCTAAATATTTTTCCCTCTAACTACAAGGCAGTAAAATGTAATAGCATTTTTAGCAAGGCAGTATAGATTCGGGGACAGGACAATGTCCCGTCATATAAATTTGTCATAAAAATGAAATGAGATCTAGGATGATCTTGACAAGATAAGACAATGATCTTAGCCAATATGATACAGAGAGAACTGTAAATGTCTACATTTTGATAAGAAAAATCAAATGCATAATATAAAATGAAAGGGGGCATACTAGATAGCAGCACACATGAAAAATTCTTCTGTAAATAAATAGATTTGTGTGATAAATAGACATGAACCAGATATTACATTTCAAAACACTCACAAGACAGTGGAACAACATTTCAGCCATCCAGAACACTTCATCACTAACCTCAAGGCAGCACGGATGAAACAGAAAAATATATATTAAAAAATCCCAATCCATTTCAGAAAATATGAACTGGGAAAATGGGTTTGTAACTTATTACATTTGTTTAATTGATCTCACTGTGGGTTTTTTCCATCCCTTCCCCCTGCAGTATCAAATCTACTCTATACATCTAATTATAAAGGTGTTTAGTCTTGAATATGCTACTATATTCTGTTTCTGCTTCAATGCAATATTGAACAGTATTAGCAGAGATGTAATGTTAAGATTTTTAAAAAGTAATAATTCCTCAGTATTTTTTATTGGTCAGAATCTAGAGCATTGGGTTGGGTTTGAGGCATTGCATTTCAGAAAGAGCATTGGCAAACTAGAGCAGTGATAGCTAACCTTTTCGACACCAAGTGCCCAAAGCGTGTGTGCATCCACAAAATGTATTGTGCATGCGCATCCCCACACATGCGCATTTGCGCCATGCCCCCACACATGCCCCCCATCCCACACACATGTGCATATCTCCGCACATGTCCCCCACATGTACGGCAGAGAACCGAAGACCAGCTGGCCGGTGGGAGGCACATGCGCATGCATGGCAGAGCTGACCTGTTGTGACAGCTCACATGCTGATGGAGAAGGCTCTGTGATGCCATAGGTTCACCATCACAGAGCTATAGCAAGTCCAGAGTGAAGCAACCAAGATAACAAGGGACTTAGAGGGAATAACTGAAAAAGAAAGTATATTACTTGTATGTTTCAACTGGAGCAGGACTGTATGAATACATGATCAGAAAGATATGGAAGATGGGGCAGAACTGTTCAGATTTGTTCGGTTATTCAAAATACAATGAGAAGCAGTTAGTTTAAATTAGAAGGAACCAGATTTTGATTTTGGTTGAACCTGTGGAAAAATTCCCTAAAGTTGTCCAGTTGTGGAACAGACTTGTCTCAGGAAGTAGAGCTGGATGTGTTTATACAGAGGCTGGATGGCCATCTTCACAGAATGCTGAAGCAGCAGATTCCTGCACTGAATAGAAAGTTGGACTAAGATCCCTTCCAAACTTTTGTGATTCAACATTTAGAAAATTATAAATTTTTGGATTTCTGCTATTTTGCAGAATGCGAAGTTCATACTTAACATCTGTTTTGATTTGCAAGAGCTCAACCTGGACCCTGATGCCATTCCCTTTTTTAGGAATAGGTTAATGTGAAATCTCCACAAAGTGAATTCAGTGGCCTAGATAAAACTTGAAGTATTGCCTAACATGCTGTGCTCGTGTGATTCACACAAACCATCTTTCTGTTCTTGGCAGCTTACATGGGTATGGAATACCACCCATCTGTCAGATGCCTTTGGAGCCCAGGTCTCCAAAGGTCTCTGGGCTCTGGACTAGCATAAATACTTTGTCATAACATATTTAGTAAATAGTAACAAAACTCCACAAAAATATATACAACCGTTTAGAAAGACAACTCTAACCAAGCCTTGAGATAGGAAGTTGTTGAATATGAGAACTTGTAAAGTTGAATCAAAGAGAAATGCTTGGGGAAAACCCGAGACATCAAACTAGACCTACTGTTTCCATCAGCTTTTTGGCAAATTTTCAGCAGTGGCATAGGTTTTGGATTCACTCCCATTGCAACAATTGTTCTCTTTTCTTCTACAGCCTATGTAGCAGTGGGGAGAGGGCAGCACATAGAATTCATTCTCTATGAGGAATTCAGTGCCCTCCGCCAAGTGAAATAAATGTCAGCTGACTTTCTGGACAAAAGAAATGTCACCAGGAACCACAAGAGCAAGCAAGTATTGCTAATGTCCAAAGTTGAAGGACCTCAGGGCAATATGCCATTCTTGCAACCTTGAATGTCCTTTTTGTACCATCACTCCGGATAAGAAATGGAGGTTTTCCCATGCATGATAGTACTTTTGGCATTAAGTGAAGATCCTTTTATTGCTAATTTAAATATTATCATTTTATTGTAATATTTTATCTTATTTATCTTAATAATTATGCTAATTATTATGTTCCCTATGTTGGCTTTATATTGATTTATTTTACACTGCCAATAAGATGAGAAGAGATAAGATACGATCTTTATTGTCACTTTTTCCTGGCACACTGGCACACATTAAAAATGAAGTTCTGATTGCCTGCTATATGTATATGTATGGAGATTTTATATATTATTTATTTATATATATAAAATCTCCATACACATACACATATATATTCTATATATTAAATATATATTCCTATAAAAACCTATTTTAGATCTATTTTATGATAAGTGGCAACAGCTGTTCAGATTTCAGATTAGAAGATATGCCAGGAATTAAAAATCAGAACCTTTATACATAAAGTATGCTTTCTACTACCAAATATCATTTCTACTGTGACCTTTCATGAGAAAAGGAAGAAAAGAAGGAACGGGATGAAGAAGGAGAAGAAAAAGAAAAAAGGGTTATAATATTAATGCAGAATTGCCAGTTCCACATATTGAATTTTGACTTCAGCAAAGTTGAAATTGTGTGTGAGAGAAAGAGGGAAGAGGGAGGGAGAGGGAGGGAGAGATTTCCACATGAGTTTCAATAGTGGATATAGTAATGCTAACTGAACATGTAGCAGATTCACAAGATTCCAAACTTCTCCTGAAGATCATTGTTTATGGATCTGATGGAAGCTAATATTCCTCCAGCTGAGAGGAGATGGCAGCTCAAACTGTGTGTGAAGAAAATTAATTCTCACTGTAGGACAGGAGGTTCAGAGGCAGCTGGAAAGTGCCAAGAGTTTGCAGCTGAATTTAGCACAGATTAGGGTTCAGTCTGGGCAGGACTTCTTAAATAGCTCTGTGGGGGATCTGACCATTATGCTCCACTTAACCAATATGAAGTAAAGATCGAAAAGATTTATTGTATTTATATAAACTTTGCTAAACTGCAATTTGGTCCTAACAAAACCCATTTTATTGCAAATTCAAAAACTTCAGAACTATAATCTCATTAAAACAGGATTAGACATTTTAATAAAAGTTAACTGGAGAGTCAGAAACACTACAAAGGGAGGAGATGTTTAAACTCCAACATCAAACATACATGCAATTAGAAGTGAACTTTAAAAATACTGACTTTTTAGCAGCTCTTTGAAAATTCTCAAACTAAATGACTACAGAGAAAGCATTCCTTTCTGAAAGAAGAAAATGACTGTAACTTAGTCAAGCTGATATAAGGGGTGCAGTTCTTGAAATATATTTACCCCAGGAGGGATTAATAATATGTCACCATGTGCCATTCAATGTCTATGGAGATTCTCAGTCATCCAGGTCATGGGTGTCCCAAATATGTTTTTTTC